TTACTAAGCAGAGTGGTCTGTGTGTTTTGTTTTGAGTGTGAGACGTGTCCTAACTGTCTGCTCTTATAGCTTATAGCTCCACAGCGCGCACGCTGCACGTCTTAAAACTTGCTGTAATTAGTTTCTTGTAAGGGATTTGTATATATTTAACAAAAATTACACCTATTCTAGAAAACTTGACGTTGGTGTACTTAGTGTATTTAGATGTGAGTATGACCATAACCTCAGCCTCCACCCGAGTCATAACCCTTAACTCGACCTCGACTCCAACCCTGACTCCACTTGGGAAGCATCTTCATGCATATAATTAGCCTCTTACTTCTCCTGGTGATATATTTCCCTCAGGGTTCATATAGGGGTCGCATACCATTACTATGTATAGTAGTTTTAATATCTTTCTAACCACGGCACTGATTGATTGCTGAGCAGCCAGTGCTAGGGGGATTTGCTACAGCACCTGGTCTGCAATTTGCACTACCTGGTGGGCACGAGGTTTTTGCCGTTCTTGAGGGCTTCATTGCTGATGGTATTCGACTGGGCGGTAGGGAGCGCTACCGTAGCTGCGAACAAGGCGCACAGCGCAAGAGAGATTGTACCAGCAATCTTCATTTTGGTGTAAGAGAAGTAGGTGATTAGATTGTTAAACAGGTGACAAATTGAGAATGTGAAGGAGAGAAGTAATAATTTGATGGTGTAGGATTCAGCTGTAGATATGGGCTTTATACGTATAGACTTGAAGGAGAACTAAGCTATTTTGCTGCAATATTGCGATAGCACAGCTACTACCAGATTGTGGTCGTACAAAAACTGTCACAGGATTGCAACCCATGTAGCTGTAACACCCCACAGGGATATGTTTCGTTTCAGCTCAGTATTATGTATCTGCCAAAACAGTGAAACCCCCATTATAAGACTTGTAACAAAAGCTAGGGAATGTTTCAGTCCTGTTAGTGGCATGGCATACTGAACACTAGAGAGAATTTGCAAAGGGCACGTGACTTGCATATTACACGTAGCTCCCATTCAATACGACATGTATAGACAGGGTAAGGGCTCATATTTAGTGAAGTTGCAAATCTCGATCCCAGACACGAAGTCATGGAGGAGCAAATTTCCACTTTTTGAAAGCGATGGAAAGCCTGAAGGTGTAGGAAAAATGGCCGGGATGGTGTTTTCTGTCATGGGGCACATGGTGTTGCATAAAGAGTTCCAGCTGTAAGAGAGGATTAATGGCGCAAACCCGAGGATGGGTTGAGTCATTGGCGAAGCAACGCATACGAGGCGAATCATTCTTCACATTCAAAACTCGACTAGATCAACCTAATTACGGAGCCATATAGACTGGTAGGGGCCACTGGAATGCTTGGTTGCAAAATCGATTCGGCACGTGTGTGGTGTGGTTATTGTGGTTATTAGCAATTGCGAAACGTCAACTATAGTGGCATAGGTGAATAGGCAGCAGTCAGAGATGGAGAGTATACGGGCCGCATACCCACATGATTATGATACCAATACATTGAGGTTTCTAGTGGTAAAGAAATGAGGTTAAAGTGAGCACACGTGCCAGAAGTTTTGTAAACCACCATGTCTAACGCGTCCATGTCACGTCAGGTTACGTCAAGTCACGTCGCGTCACATCCCAATCCTGCCGTCTCACCCCGCCCCGCCCATAAGTGATGGAATTGCCACTAATGTTTCACCATCGCAGTGCTAGTTGACGTTGTGATCTGCTACATACCGCCTAAAACAAACAAAGAAACGTTGCTTTAGACGACATTGCAATGGGTATATAATCAAAGTTATGGTATGCAAGGAGTGGGATTGGATAAACTGTACCGATAGCTGGTTTGATCTGCTATACGTGTGATGGGTCGACCTAGCCGCTTCTGAGCTGGAACGGGGTGGTCCAGACAGTGGTGAAGATCGGCTGTGTGCGCTTTCACAATCGTCAGCGCCCGTGCATCATTATTTTCGGTTGATGGTTTCTAGGTCTATTGCTCCAATAGTAGCGGGCCCTGGCAATCGATGTTATCCTAATTGATTAAATAAGCTACTACGACAGTGAAGTCATATAAATGGAGTAGGTATGATATACACGTCAATTTGGTAGAGCTGAGCTGCTATGTCTACTGGGTGGCTAGGTAATTGCTTGGCCAAAGATTGCCGTCGCTGAGCCTCACTGAAAGCAAACGCGATGACTGCTTTCTTGATATGTTGCGGACTTGACGCGCGTGACCTATATGGCCACCAGCGTCGCAGCAATGATAATAGAGTTAATAGACAAGTTTTAGGGACTATGACGCGAAGTCATTACGTGATAGAAGCGCAAAGCAAAGTCTCACACACAAGCGCATATGATTATCTTGTGTTGAACGCGTCGCCTATGCAAAGGCCACGAAAAGTGAAAACCGTCTGTTGCACACGCCTGGTGATAACTACCACTCATGCACCCACGTGCCTTGATGTGCATCCGATTTCCTCACTACATATATATTTCGCGCCCCCTTCAGTACATGCTTACAATGATGGGCATTTTCTAAAACCGTCAATTATAACTACAATTAAGTAGGCTGAATCACTGAGTATGGCGGCTTTGGTTGATTGACAGCATGAAGTCTGCTGTGTAGGCATACTTTTTCACACTTGTATGTATGTATGTATGTATGTATGTATGTATGTATGTATGTATGTATGTATGTATGTATGTATATGTAGGGTTCACCTAGATCTGAACACAATAGACTTTTCCATCCCCACTAGTACCACAATCCCCAAAAGTATTGTCAGCCCAATTCCCAAAATGTTGAGGGTAGTTTCCATCGCAAGACCTTTTCTTTGCATGGGGGTCAGGTGAGTAGCACTATGATCGTCATTTTCGTTAGCGTAATCATACGTATATACATATGGTTCAATAGCTCTTACACAGTAATTCGCCCAGCCGGGTGATTCTAGACTGCAGGGCCCACTTGACTCCCAATGACAGCAGAGAGCAGAAACTTGACTGCAAAGCGCCAAGATTTCAATAGTTACTATGAACCTCATCTTATCCAAGCACAGTAGAGCTTTTACAAGAGGTAGACGAGATTCTGAAGGGAAAAATCGCAAGAGCGTAAGATAAGATGATGTGTATGTAAGAGGGTAGAGGAATGAATAAACAGATTTTATACCTATCGTGCTGTCGGAGAGATACTTATGCGCGAATTCTTCCAGAAAGGAAACCCTAAAGAGAAAATCTTGCTCTTTAGTTTCTCAAAACCTGTCACTATGCGTCCGAGTCTCGGCATCATAACCCGAATAGATTGGCAAAAGTTTGACTTTACATATATTAGCCTAAGTGAAGAAGGGTACACACAGGCATTCCTAGTCAACCGCCAAGGAGAAGATAGCTTGGCAGCTTATTATGCCGGTGCACAGGGTCGCCAGCGAGCCTGGTGTTTGCTAGGCCTGCTCTCCAGCCAAAGACTACGAAGCATCTCGTATTTGGTGACGGTTGTTTTTGTTGTGGAAGCGCTCGGACTGAATATTCCTCACCGAATACGACTCCTTCATCTATACATACATGTCGCTACAGCCTGTTACAGTGCTAAAAGCAGGTGCAGCTCGAGCAGCTATGCCGTTATCACGCTACTCTAGCTATATGAGTTTTACCATTGACGAGCCAATGATGATTGTTGCAGTGGCACCACATATATTGCAAATGTGCGTGCGGAATGTTTAACGTTTTATTGTCCTCGAGGTTTTCAGTAAGTACTAAATCTAATCATGGTTACTTGTTGTTTCCAGTGGCAACGCCCCAGAAGTATGCCGCCCATGCACCTGCAATGAAAAACAGTAGTGCGATGAACAAGATCAGGCTGACTTGCTTGTTCCTCTTGCCTTTTGCACCACTCTCGAACTCTGCTTTGCGCTGGTTGATCACCTCGCCTTTTCCCAGTCTAGATTTCCGGGTCCATTGCAAGTGTCCGAGGTCCGGGTTGAAAAGGCCGCATGTCACGAGGGTAAGCGCAACCACCACGGAGCCGGCAGCTAGAATGACATAGATGATTACCACGTGATGATAAGAATTGTTGTCGCGATCCTGAATCACACCGGTAATAATGCGAACAATGATGCTCATACCATTGTTCACAGCAATCTTGATTGCATAACCGGAACCAAAGACTTCTTGGTGCCACATGGCCGTGCGGATTGAGTCGATGATGACAGTTGGGCCGAACATGGACGCGACGCCAAAGATGCCAAACGAGGCCGCTGTTCCGCCGATAGTCGGGCCCCACGCCGCTAAGCACATAGATATGAGCATACCGAGACTGCAGAAGAGCATGAGACTGAGACGATGACCAAAAAGGTCAACGAAGACACCGATCAGAGGCACCAAGAAGAAGCCCAAGTACTGCGACATGGCTGAGTACCAGCCGGCCGTCACGGAATCTATGTTAAAGCGCAGCTCGGCTAGCTCGGTGGCATTTTGCGAGTAAACGACTGCTGTGCTAGTCTGAAAGAGGGAAAAAGCAACGATAGCCCAGAAGGGCCATGGCAGCCTCAATGTCTTGCCAAACTCGAACTTTTTGTTGCTTTCGGTGAGTTTCTCACCAGTTGCCGGGTCGGCGGTTCCAGAGTAGACCTTCATACACCATCGCGCGAAGAACCAGTAGACCAGTGTTACGACATTGGTGAAGAGGTTCATGAAAACAGCTGTCCAGTAAACCCAGCTGAAGTCTCCGGTTTTCTTTGCAATGATATTGGCGGTAGCCTTGCCGACGAAAGAGCCAATCTTGCCGATACCAAGCTCGAAACCAAGTGTGGAAGCGAAACCGTTTGAGGGTGCGAACCAGGAGCTGAAGATCTTATATTGCGCGACTTGGGTGGCGATATCCCCGAATGCCTGCACAACAACCCCGAAGATCATGAACCTGTACGAGCGGACCGTAGTAGCAGCAGCGATGAAGATAGCACCAACACTATATATGGCGTTTCCCCAAAGCATGGCATCTAGAATCAGGGTCAGGCGGCATGCTTGTTACCAGGTGGATGGGCACTAACTTGCACCGCCAATTCTATCCGTGACGAGACCGCTGACGAGGATGAGGGCCGTCTTCATGAAGTCTTCGCTTGCTTCTAGCACTGCATATTGAGCGTTGTTGATGTGTAATCGCTGTCTAGTGTTAATCATTGCTTGCAGCTTGAGGCCAGGTGCGGTCGCTTATGCCTTCTTGAGAGTACTCTTCATTGCGCCAGTCACCCCGCTGCTCCAATGCGACCCAAACCCAATTGCTGTTACCAAAAGAACTGCTAAAAGCTTCATCTTCACAGGAACATCCTGGGTGCTGGTGGGCGACACTGGGCTGATCTGCTCTTCCACATGTGCAGAAGCAGCGGACTTCTTGGTTGGCAGACCATTTCGAACATGGGCCACGGAAGTCTTGACATGCATTGTAAGTTGCGGCAGGTATCGACGTGAAGAGAAGCCGGCGTATCGATCAGATAAGATGGACCGTTCGTTGGAGGCCTGCAAGCTGGTTTTGTACCATTGCCTAAGACGAGATGCGTTACTCTGGGTCCACCACCCCACCTACCTCGACTGCAATTCTCGGGCCTTTTTCCCGTGGCAGAATTGGAATCCATACATGTAAGGGTGTTCATGGTCACCTCCAGCCCTAGTGGAAGGCCATGTATCGGGTACGTGGTTGGCGATTGCAGTGAACACCTCTTAGGAGTGGAACACGCGTCCTGCGTCTCTGGCCTCTATTCCTGCCAAACAACACCACAAGCTGCATTACTGAAGCTCTGCCCTTATCGCTCAATGTTTTTTTTTTCGTCTCCCGTGGTGGGGCTTTGCGATAACGGGCATCAGCTCTTGATTGTCTGTACAGGTAAGGCATGGCGCACGCGCCGTTAGACCAACCGTGCAAGGCGAAAATTTTATCAGATCCTGCTGGATAAGGTTTTGACGTGCAAGCTGAGTGGGCGGAGTCGCGTTTCAATTGGCGTGTTTAGGCCAGCAGTGTCAAGGGAGCGCAATGGTTCGACACGGTGGGAGTACACCACCAAGGGAGCGCCACCAGCAGGTGTCTTCTGTTGGAGAGGCGGAGGGAGAAGGTAAAGGTAGAGGTGGAGGTGACAAGTGCGGGTGGTGGTGAATCTTGTTCTTGGCACGCTAACCCCCTTTGGCCTAGCGCACGCAGCAGCACTAGTGCTTGATGTTCAACGCGTCTGCTCACCAATCATGACCTTGACCAAGAGAGTCGTCGATGCGAACGGATTGACTTCATACTGGCAGTATTTGTGTCTTGAAATCCACGGCGACGACGAATCCATCCGGCATCGCTGCGGAGCATACCTAGAGCCGCGTCCAGAAGTCGGCGCGCACAGTTTTCAGCAAAGGCCTACTTAGGGCACTCACAACATCCAGTTGACGCATTGCAATCCCCTGTTGCAAAGTTGACAGCAAAATGGATCATTTCCAAGGCCTCACCACCCGATTTCTCGCCTGGTTCAAGGACTCGGGCGGCGTCTTCCGCGATGATCTACTAGAAATTCGAGACTTGAGATCCAAAGGTTCCGGTCGCGGCATCAGTGAGTCCAGACAGCCCGCCTACCGCGACAACAACCACACTGAAATCTACGCAGTTGCAAAGCAGGACATTGCCGAGGACACCCCGCTGTTTTCGATACCAAGGGACATCATCATCAACGCGCAAACGTCCCAGCTAACGCAGAAACTCCCTGAAATCTTCCAAGACCCCCTGGAAGACGGGGACGAAGAAAACGAAGTGGAACCCTTGGGCTCATGGGGCACACTCATTCTTGTCTTGATATACGAGCACCTGCATGGCGATGCTTCGCCATGGAAGCCCTACCTTGATATACTGCCGCAGACTTTTGAAACACCGATTTTCTGGTCAGAGGTAGAACTGAAAGAGCTTGAGGGAACAGCGTTAACCCAGGAGAAGATTGGAAAGGAAGAGAGTGATCAAATGCTACGTTCGCGCATCCTGCCCATTGTCGTGAAACATCGGAATGTCTTCTATCCCAAAGGCGCGCCTGAGCTCAACCAAGAAGAGTTACTTTCACTCGCACATCGCATGGGCAGTACCATCATGTCATACGCTTTTGATCTCGAGGGCGAAGACGAGCAGTCTGAAGAGGACGACGATGATGGTTGGCTCGAGGATCGAGAGGGCAAGACCCTGTTAGGCATGGTGCCCATGGCGGACATGCTCAACGCGAATGCCGAGTTCAATGTGAAGCCCCCGATCCATCCCACATACATTGCACTGACAGCCTGGATTTCTAGGCTCACCTAAGCCATGGTGACCAGCTCGAGGTTACTTCACTTCGTGAGAGTATCCCTACTGGATCAGAGATTCTGAACTACTATGGACCTCTGCCATCATCCGACTTACTGCGACGATATGGCTACGTGACCGCTGAGCACAGTCGGTATGATGTTGTTGAGCTTCCTTGGAGTATGGTTCGGGAAGCACTCGGCAAGGAACTTCAACTATCCCAAAATCTCATTCAAAAGATTGAGGTAGCCACTTCCTTGGTATCCGCACATGTAAGGAGTGCCATGTAATGCTAACGCTATTCCAGACAGAAACTGAATCGCAACCAGAAGTGGATTTGGAAGATGTCTTCGTCATTGAACGCGACTCCGGAGAGCCATCGCCCTATGGCATGTTCACGCAACCAGCAATGCTACGCGAGGTATCACCTGAACTTGAAGAACAGGTAATGCTTTTCCTGAAAATTTTCAAAAAGCTCAACGGCAAGACAAAGCTAGAGTTGAAGAGAACACGAGGTGACGACATCTACAACGCCGTGGTGAACAAGGTCTTGAGGGCTAGATTGGCGCAGTATCCCCATTCGATTGAGCAAGATGAACAGCTGTTGAGCCGAAATGATCTTACAAGAAGACATCGCATGGCAATCCAAGTGAGGCTGGGCGAAAAGCGACTGTTGCAAGAGGCACTGGCCTTGGTTCCGAATGACGAGGAAATTGCGCAAGAGAATGAAGGAAGAACAACAAAGAAGCCAAGGCGCACATCTCCAATTGCATAGGCAATAAAGTTGCCTCTCCAAGCAACGATTATCTCGGCTATCTTTGTCAGAATGGCATGGTGAGTCAATAACCGGGTTAAGCAGTTAATGGATTCGCCATCTGCACGCGCATTTCGGTTCGCTATCAAATTACAGGCCATTGATACCAGCCAATCAATAATTTGCTACACGGTGATCTGGACACGTGGAAGAGACTGGAGCCGGTGCTATGTCTTCATTGTTGTCCTGATCTTAGAAGCGGCCCTACCATCGGTAGCAAGGGAGTCATTTTGTGTTGAATACTAAACAGCGCTTGTCTAATCTTCCATCTCTGGCCCTCCCACTGTTACAATTTAGTCAAAGGATATTTTAAACCTTACGGGTTTCGCAGAACCGATCCATTACCTTCACTCATTGACTAGAGACAACATTTTCTGGAAATGCCTCACAATTGACAGAATACACTTTCCTGCATCACGAAGCGGCAGGCTGTCTCTTGGTTCTTGCACTTTCCAAAATATTATCTGACGAAACCAACAGCTTAGAGGTAAGGGGAGGCATATTGCTGAGCGACAGAAAGTGCGTTGCTTATGGTGACTTGGCATAACTGCAACACTGTCTTTCCTCCACGGCATTTACACTCCTCATCCTTCAACAATCCTCTCATCCACTTGCGTCCGGCAGATCTTAGGTAAAAATAAATTTCTCTGATTAGTCTAGACCAAACTGTTCTTGCTGACTTCTCATCAGGACCAATTCCAGCCTTGACAAGCTTATATTTCTCATCCGCTCTGGTCTTACCTAAAAGATATACAAGTCTCGTCAGTACAAAGCCTCAGCCCACCGCACCCTCGACAGCGCATGCCAATTTCCATTATCACGATACCTAGAAATTCGAGTGGATTACATCATCTTCCGAAATGGCAAACTCAGAGTCTGAAATGCAGTACACAAACGACAAAGTGATGAGGAAATGCTGTCATCCGACAGTCAATCTTCGGAAAGATACATCTTCGGTAGAAGCGACGAGTATTACGTGACTCCTCAGCTGGGTGCAGACGCATTCCAAAGCTTGAAAGCTTTCATAGACAGCCTCAAGCCGATACCTTTGGAGGATCTTGAAGAAGATGACAGGAAGTGTCAGCTTTGCTCCAAGCGCTACGGAGAGCCTTCAGGTCCGGGAAACAATGACTCGGAATTGCCAGTCAGACTGCACTGCAACCATGTCTTTGGCGAAAAATGTCTGGACAAAATGTTTTTAGACATTTCCGTTGTTGAATTACCTCTTCGGCCGTTATCATTTGGCCCAGGTTCAAGAGGTCATGAGCTGCTTGGCATACTGCGCGCATATGCCCAAGATGAAAAAAGATATCGGGATTATTTTGAGGTCTTTCGACAAATGCTGGAGAGTCTATGCAATGCAGACCTGGCAAAGAATCTCTTCGGATGGCACTGGGGTACAGTTCTGAAGGAAATATTCTTTTACTTCACAACCGTCCCCCTTTCGAAGATCCAATTCATGGAGAACGCTGTATTGATAAACATGGGGACTCGTTACCGGGAGGACTCACCGCCTACTCCGATCTCGGGTCCAATGTCGCCCTCTCCGTCAGTTCTACTTGGAGGAGATGAGTCAAAGTCAGTGCCAACCCCCAAGACATTGTTTGAATCGACGTCTCAAGAAAATGATTGGTCTGGAGAAGACCCAAAGATTGCCATTTTCGATGATATGGAACTTGAGGACAGGGCTTCTGAAGGTCAGTTGCTCGCCTTCAGAACGAGTTTCACAACAGCAGTGTGGCAGATAGCTGCACAATACTTTTGTTTTTGAATTTTGACTAACACAGAGGAGCAGAAGGTGTTGTTTTGAAGCAAAAATTTATCCGCGTGCTTGCCACTGAATTGGCGAGTATCTACTCGAATTTTGGTAATGAGGTCGTCACCCTTGAGTGTTTCAGTCCAGAACATCACACCGACAAGCTGCTCCATATACCCCCCCATGTCTACCTCGATTACGACAAACACACTTTGAAACAGTCTTCATGGGAGGTAAACCCGCTTGATTATTCGCTGATGAGCGTCAGCTCCAGCTCCAGCTCGAGCAGCAGTGAGATTAGTCACGCTAGTACAGAAACCGAAGTGCTCGGTAGAATATTCCCAGTCATCATCCGCAGATTGGTGGCCTGCTCATGCTGCAAAGACACAAGGGAGGAGTCTGGAGAATTGCCAGGTCAGGAAAAGGTTCGACCGCCTCGCAAGCTTTGGTGGAGAGACGCCAGCGGTACACCGAATCGTTGCCCTGTTTGTGATATGATGTTGTATGACGAGTATTGTACCGGGGAAAGCGAACGCATGCCGATAAACGGTATGTCTGAGAGTGGTTCGAGCGTGGAAGATGGCAATGGAGATGACGAGAGCGACGATGAGGGAGATGACACTATCGTTGACATGAGCTATCCATGAGACGTTTCGGCCAGGTACCTGCGCCTTCAGTCTCGCCAGGAAAGACTGCTACTTGGTGAGAGAGGGTTTGGGAAAGGCTTGGAATCGCGACAAGTTCACAAGACGCTCATTTGGTTTCTTGAGGCGGTATTCTTCACGAGAGTTGTGCCGGATAGCGGTTGAAGATCAGTGCTATACTTAGCATTCCTCCAGAGGATCCCAGTCTCTGTTGTGATTGAGTGTATGGTCACTATGTCGCAACAATGTTAGTCTTTGATATGTGCACGACGGAACGACCAAGTGGCGGTTGAAACGTTGGCAATGAAGGGTGTGAAAGTGCTAGCTGGTCAATGTGTGCGATGCCTTGGATTATCAGCGACAGCGAACAAGACCCAAAGGCTTCAGACATTTGTCCACTTTCCCGTTGATCATACTAGATGCTCTACCCCTAGCCACGCATCTCTCGTCGTCGTCGTCCTCTCTCCTGCAGCACCAGCGCATCTCATCTCCTCCACCCGCACTCCCACCTCCGCATGCACAGCTACAATCTGTGCCCTGATGTCTTTTTTCATATCTTTCATCTCCTTCCGCCACTCTCTCATTCTCATCTCCAGCAATTCGACTTGGGCGCTGAAGACGCGGTACATGACAAAAAAGCATAGAGCGTTGAAGACTGCGCAGACAAGGCCTTCGCTCAAGAAGCTCATGATGTCTTTGTTGAACTGATTGGTTGCAATATTGGCTGATGTGGTCGTAGAAATGAGCTGGGTGGAGAGAGGTGTGCGGCATCGGTGAGAATTCGATGGAGGGGATTATTGTAACCAGGTCAGGAGCATAGGCATGCCACGAGAAATGCTGAAAGTAGATATAGTCGGCATTGATGGCAGCTTATATATCTGTGCCAGCGTTTTGGGGGCGGGCTACAGTTACCTCAACCACCTACCAAGTTGGTGTTAATTAGCTCGCCTAAACGACCGGTAATAGCATTGCGCCTCGTAAGAGAATTAAGTCCCACACCACAAGAGGAATGCCTGGATAATTAGGAGGCGTTGTTTCTTTCAGTGGCTCGGTATTCCATTACCTAAGGGGTTGCCAAGACACGAATTTGCCTCATAGAGGGAGAAAATGCCGCAATTTACGACTGACGATCGTGGTTACCAAGCAGCAAAAAGGAATACTGATCAAACGTGGGTTGCTTGGTGGATTCGTCGACAAGAAAAGAAGATGGCGAATGTGCTGTCTGGTACGAGTCAATCCTGGTGCAATCAGCGGCTTGAGCAGCGCTGACAGCTATAGAGCCAAACCACACCGAGTGGAAATGGAGTCTGTTCGTGGGCGGCATGTGGCGATTTGCTAGCAGAGTCGGGAAACTGGCCATGGCTCCAGATATGGCCAATAGGTGCATATTGGTATCATGATTGAATTCAAAACAACTTTTTTTTTCAAAATCTCCAAAAGGTTCATATCAGGACAAGCACATTTACAACCTCTTGCAGATGTCGTCAATAATCTCCTCCGTCTTGGCCTTGCCGCCCATATCGGGGCTCAGCAGCTTGGCCTCCTCGAGGTTGGCATCAACAGCCTGGTAAATCTTGGCGGCCGCCTCCTCCTCGCCGATGAACTCGAGCATGAGGGCGGTGGAGCGGATGGTAGCAATTGGGTTTGCAATGCCCTGGCCCTCGATGTCGGGGGCGGAGCCGTGGCAGGGCTCGCCAATGACGAAGTCTTTGCCGACATTGGCAGAGGGGACGAGGCCGAGGGAGCCGACGAGGGCGGCGGCGCCGTCAGAGAGGATGTCGCCGTAGAGGTTGGGCGCGACGATGACGTCGTAGTCTTGGGGTTGGCGGAACAGTTTGTAGACCATGGAGTCGACGATCTGCTCCTCGACGCCGACCATCTGGTACTTGGCGTCCTGCAGGGCACGACGCGACGTTTCGCGGAAGAGGCCGTCGGTTTGCGACAGGACGTTGGACTTGTGCGTGATGGTGACGAGAGGGCTGCTGTGCATGGAGCTGCCGCCAGCGTCCCTCACGCGCTGCCTGCGCAGCGCAATGTCGCCAGCCATGGCGGCAATGTTGAACGACGCCGTCTCGGAGATGCGCTTGATGGCTTCGGCAATCTTGGAGCCGTCAGGGGCAGTGTATGTCTTCTCCTCCTTGACGTAGAGATCTTCCGTGTTCTCGCGCACAATGACCAGGTCCACGTCGCGCACGGCGCCCCTGACGCTCTTGACGGGCCGCACGTTGGCGTACAGCTTCATCTTCTTGCGCAGCGCCACAATGGGGCTGGAGTATCCCTTGGTCTGCACTGTGGGCGAGCTGACGGCGCCGAACAGGGCGCCGTCGCAGTCCGACTTGAGCGCCTCGACCGTCTGGTCGGGGAGGGCGGCGCCCGTCTTCTGGAACGTCTCCCAGCCAGCCTCATGGTGCGAGAAGGAGAAGCGGAGGCCGAGTGACGAGGGCAGCGCCTCGAGGATGCGGCGGCCGGCGGGGATGACTTCGCGGCCAATGCCGTCGCCGGGGATGAGGCCTATCCTCAGCGTACGTGCGGCCATGTTTGGGAACTGTGACACAACGCAAAAGTCGCGGCGGAGGGGCTGGCAGGTGGGCTGGCGGGGAGAGGCGTGGGGGGAAATTCTGGGTGTTGCACTTGGAGTTGCAGTAATAAAGCAGGCCGAAGTTCGGACGTCTGGCCTTGGCAGCGCCAATCCCAATGCGGCCTAGCCAGCAACGGCGCTGGTGTTGGCGCCCTCTCCCCTCCATCACATGGAGAACATATACACACACATATATATATATCTATATCTATATATACTTCAAACAGATAGCCCCATGCCGCCAGACGCAGGTACAGCTAGCGCCTATAGTAGTGCATACAGTAGTGCCGTCTAACCCCGCCACAGCCGTCGCCCATATATAACTCGCCCCAGTACCATAACGCCGCGCTGATTCAGACCCTGCCCTATCACTCTGCCACCCTCGAAGAGAAAAAAAGAAAGAAAACGCCGGGCGTAAATTAGTCCAGTTCGTCTTGGTGACCATTCGTGTCTTCGTCCTTCGTCCCATGCACCTCTTCAAACTTCTCCTTGGCGTCCTCGACGCCGTCCTTCTTGGCTTGTTCTGTCGGCACCAGCTCAATCACCACCACAAAGAGCTCTTGGTTCGTCTCGCGGTTTTTGAGCACGTATCTAAGCGTGTGCGAACTGATTAGTAACCATCAAGTCAGCCCCCAAATCCCTATCCAAGCAAAATGCTGCAGAACCCCCATGTGGAGCAAGCTACAGGGAAAGTGGGCAATACATACCGCAGCGGCTGCCCGTCCCAGTGTCGGATCATGGAGATGTTGGGAAGCCCGTAGCCGATCTTGAGCGCAAACTCGTTAAAGTCCAGGTACGGGTTGAAAAAGTCGCACATGTACTCGCGGCCGGCCTCAAAGGTAAAGTCATCGCGGTTCTGTTGGGTCAAGAAGAACTTTTGTCGCGCGCCTGGCTTGTCGGGCACGCCCTTTGCTTTCCTGATGTCCATTCCGTCGCCATCTGCGCCTTCTTCGTAAATGGCCGCCTCGCCTTGTTCTGATGCATCGCCAGGCTTTTCCTCTTCGTTCTTGGCCCCGATGCGCAATACGTTGATCGACGACAGCAGCGCGCCGTACAGATACGGCTCGTCGGCGTACACATCGCCGTCCAGTCCTGGATCAATCCACCACTTGACTATGCCAAACGCCTTGTCGAACAGCGGCGGCAGCCGATCGCGAATTGGGTGGTCAAAGTCGTTTCCGAACACGAGCTTGTCGCCGGCAATGTCGCTCCTGGGCGTAAAGGAAAAGGATATCGAGTAACGATCGTAGACATGTTGCGGCGTGGAAAAGTAGGGCGACGTCGCTGGTGAGCCCTCGGGCAGGCCTTTGTTACAGCGTTAGCCGTTGTGGGCATACTTTGGCATACTCTTTTTTTTATGGGCCTTGTCTGAGGGGCGCACGTGGGGCAGACGTACCCCGGAAGTCTTTGATGCGCATGTGTAGCTTTGCGTCTATGAGGTCCGAGGTTATGCGCACCGGCCTTTCGCTGTTGACAGGAACAGGGTCGTGCTGGGCCACATCGTATGTGGGGCCTGCAGTGACGCGCAGTATGTACTGCTCGTGGCTCGCCATGGTGTTTTTGCTATACTTTACATGTATATCCTGTTTGCAAACGGCGAGGATTCGGTGGAAACGAGTTTGTGAAATCAAAAGCTGTCGCCGCTTGAATTTTGGTGATTATGGGCGATGACGTTCCGAAGCGGGCATGAACAGGAACAGGGACTTGTGCCACTAGTCCCTCTTGGGACTGGCGCATTCTGCCCAGCAGATCATCCGAGGCCGAGCCCGCCTCGCTCGTCGCTCAGCGTTAATTGATATACATGTATAAATATGGATAAATATATATATATATATATATACATACGGACATAGATACATGCTCTATTCAATTATATACACGACACTACAATGTAGAGTGCCCGATCAAGCGCATCAACGCTGCAGTGTCCCAAGGCTAAACCCTCGTCAAAGCATCAATGTCCACTCGCTCGTAAAAGGACACGTGACCAAACGTCTCCCAGTACTGCGCTATCCGGTCATGCGAAATCAAAATGAGCTGCGACGGCATGTAGTTGTCTGGTCAAGAGTTAGCAAACGAAGATGCTTGTAGAGCCTTCAGAGCAACCCACCGTCTCGGAAACCCGTGGCTGCGATGTGTCCCACGCTCCGGACAATGCGCGCGCCTTTGAAGATCTCCTCATCCGCAACCCGCAACAAGCCACCCGGTCCAATATCAGGCGCAATAAATGTGTATTCGCCCCGAGGAATATTCGGGTCCCCAGTCAGTTTGACAGCCTCGATGCGGCCACGATAGACGCCATCGTCGTCTGGCGATGTACTTGGCTGGCCAAGAGCCTCGGCTGAGCGTTGGTGATACGTTGCCTGAAGCGTGGCCACGCTGTCTTCCAGATCGTCTGCAGTTTGCATCTCGTCCTCGCTCCGGTCTGAACTCGCTGCCTCGGTGGGCGCCGTGGTCCAAGACCCGCTGCTGCTCACGCTCCCATCGCGCTCGCTCGCCCGCAGAGCCCACTCTGCTCGCTCGGGCAGAGGCCTGGGCTTGTCGGGCTGCATAATGGCCAGGAATTCGCAACCATGTCCAGCATAGTCGCCACACCAGATGCCCTGCCATGGTTTCTGTGCAGTCGGCGTATAGCACTCCTCGGGCAGTGTCGCCCACGTGGTGATGTCCTCACCGATGCGCATGTTGAGTCGTATTGACTGCGTCGAGAATTGCATCCACTTGCGCAACCGGAAAGTCCAAGTAGAGAGCTCGTCGAGCTGGCCGGGCTTTTGGCCCGTTTGCGCAAAGCCCGACGGTGGCTGGTCATTGCGTGTACGCTGGGCACTGGGTAGTGTGAGCGGGGGCCATACGGGCGTCGCGTCGGTCGTGATGTGTTCCGGCCAGGGTCTGGTTAGCAGGAGCTGCGAGTACAGTGCCGCGTGTCGAGACAAGTTCATGGGGATTTCCTTTTGAAGGCGACGGCCCGCTGGTCCTACGGCTTCTTCGTAGGCGTCCTTGTTCAGCCGAATCACTGGCGCATTCAGGTCCAGCTGCACACGTGGACTAAACGTGTGGATGATGGCATCGGGGTGTATGTCCCACGACAACGATGCCAGTATTCGCCGCTCGGCAACCAGCGCATACGCCTCAATCGCATCCAGCCTATGGTCGTAGCGCGCGACAATGAGCTTGCCCGTGTGCGCGTTGTCGGCGAACCAGATCTTCCGTCGAGCAATGAACCAGTAGGGATGGTGTTGCCTGTACAGGCCTTGCCATGTCAGATGTGCTGGCTTGGACACGGGGCCCGACACCTGGGCCTGGACAATGTGCTGCCAGATAACGTCTTGCTGCGTGTGCTCGTGCAAAGCCCTGCTCACAAGGCCGGCCGAGAGGAGATCTGATATGCTGAGGTAACTGAGGATGTGTTGAACCAGCTCCGAGGGCAGGCTTAGCAGAGGAGTCGCCGTTGTGTGGGGGGCTCCTGTCTGCCCGTGGCATAGTACATCTGGCTCCATCTTGGACAACAACAAAAAAATGCAGGCACACGTGCCTTGAAGGGGTGGAAATGCAACGGTATTAATATGATTAGCCCTTGTCCGCAACGGGGGCGCGCCCACACCTTCCCAGCTTCGCCTAGCTGCGTCGAGATTGGCGCAGTCAAGCAACGAATACGAGCTGCTATGCACGATCGGGATGCGCTCGCGAATCTTGTCACCAACAAGGACCTGCTCTTTTCGGGGCGCCTGATGCAGATGAGCGATATCGGGAGATGCGGCGCAAGGATCGGAGACCTGGGTATGTGTATGTAAGAATAACGGCAACAGGGGCAGGGCAGCCAGCAAGAGTGGCGGCGGCGGTGGTGGTGGTGGTGGTGGTGATGGAGGCGGCGGCACCGGATGAGACAGAGAGAAAGAGGCAAGAAGCGAAAAGAAAGGGAGCAGACAAGGATGATATAATTATTAACAGACAGCCGAGAATCTATGTATGTATGTATGTAGGCATGGAATGGCAGAGTGCGCAGAGAGAGAAAGATTGTTCCAGCCAGAAACAACGACAGCATGACGAGCTTGCGCACTGGCACGCGTGGGCGGCGCGCTATTCCTTGTCTGTACTAGCGCTGCGCCGCCACCGCTAACCAGGTGGCTTTTGTGGGGTCTCGACAACCTCACCTCCTTCACCGACACGCATCCTCCATCCATCCGCCATCCGCCATCCGCCATCCGCCATCCGCCATCCATCGCCCGTCATCCCTCATCCATCCATCCCTCGCGTGCGTCACCGGATGCTTCTCGTCGCCCGCCGCCATCCATCCGCCACGCGGCATCTCGGGCGCCGTCGGGCAATTAATCCTGCCATGGCTGCGCTATTGAAGCCGCATGGCTGACTTGCCCACCCCAGCACTAGCAGCCAAAGCGTGTATACTAACTCCAAACGCCCCCCCTTTTTCCCATCCCGGCTGCACGGCTCCATTGCTTCGTATCCACCCCCGACTCAGGCAGACACAGTAACGTCCGCACGGTTGCTCGACCATGCCAACGGTGTCCCTTTTAGCATGTCTCGGACCGATAGCCCACCGCACCGCCAACTGCTTCTCGACTTACCTTGGGCCTTGCCTGCATGCGCCTCGCTTTTTGCGACATGCACATGCGCGAGACTTGGGGTCGAGACCCCCTCCCCCCATACGCTGTACGGTTCCTGTCACACCGACCCCTTCCTTCACCACTGCCATGCACGGCCCTAGCGCCGAAACCACCTGCACCACCTGTCGTGCTTCACATCGCCAGTCTCTTCTTCAACCTCGGCTTCATCTGTATGTATTCGCCATCCACACGGCCTACCGCTCATCAGTAAACATCTGCCAAAATGGATGCCTCATCTGCCCGTGTTCCTTTCATTCTACTCAAACATGAAAAAGTCGTCCTCATCCCATTCACTGGGAAGCCCCAAGTCAAGGCCTGCGCAAGGGAGAAGAGCATTGTCGGGGCTGGCGTTAGGTTGATCGCATTGGCTTGGAAGTCCCATATCAAGGCCTGCACTTGGGAGAAGAGCATTGCCGAGGCTGACGTTGGCCCTGTCGCTGCTGTATGATGGGTTGTGAGCCTGGACGACTTGCAGCTCCTCTGTCTCTGTACCTCGAGGCTCCTCTTGAATCAGTCTCGCCTGAGCATCACGCGGATCGTTGGTCCAGTCCATGGGTGGGGCACGAGCCTTCACACGCGTGCTGTCGAGATCGCGCATCGATTTGCTGTACCAGCCATCCCATGTCTTGTGAGCCTTGTCGAGTTTGCCGTCTCTGAAAGCCAACTCTTCAATCTTGGCACAGACGCGCTCTTCCTTGCGCTTGATGGCGTCTTCGAGGTCGCGACGCGAAAGGCCTTCGCGGCAGCATCTATGGGCGCTGGCTTTGCATTTACCGTCTCCACCGCATGGCATGTCGAGATGAAGACACATATACATGTCGGCAGTTTTCTTTGGGTAAGATGCCAGGTCTCGTGAGGGGAGTTCGGGGCAGGGGACGACATCGTTTTTCGTCTGTTCACCGCTCGTGTCCGGCATGTGTTTTTTGGGTCGCTTCTGACGTTGTGGCTGCTTGCTCTTGCGGGCGGCCGTGTAGTCATCCCAGGCAGCGAGCTTCTGCCATTCAGGATCCGTCGGCTTGCGGAACTTGTTTCCCAGTAGGTATTGTGCATCAATCATGTCTTTCTGCGACAAATAGCGCTCATGATCCGCCTCGGCCTTCTTCTTCCTTTCTTCTCGACGCTGCTGCTCAACCTCCCATGGAACCTTTTTAGGCGGCTGGCGATTTTTGTTGGCAGCATCTTGCGATGCAAGTTTCTTCTGGCTTTGTGGCAATCCTGGTGAGCCCCCTGTATCCAGTGGAGGGTCGGTAAGGATATCAACGGGCCATGTCTGTTGCAAAACAATGTCCTTGAAACGTTGAGTATGCTCGGCTCGACTCCCATTCTGCGCATCAGCAAATTGGGCGTACCACTGCTTCTCCTTTTCAGCAACTTGGTCGCTCATTTCTCCAAGCTCGCGCAAAGCATTACTGTATAAACGAGACGTAGGATGGTTATGGAGCAGGACGCGACCGAGGTCGCAAAGCTGCACGTATAGTTGGTGCCGCTCTCGAGGTGCCAGACAGCGAACGGTCCAGGCTTCGCTGGGCAGATACAGGCGGTGGCCTTGTGGATGGCGGTAAACGAAGCCGGGATGAATTGAGGGTACGAGGGGAGGGGGAGCTGCGTGCAGGTCTTGCATGGCATTTTCCAACCATGCCTGGGCGTTGTCGACAGTTGGGGGATACGCCATGTTTTGGACGGGCGTTTGAGCGAGGTGAGCCGTGGTGCTTGGGGTGTCGGGTTGAAATGCAGATTGGATGAATGGGTGGTTAGTATGGTATGGATATATGAGCTGAGGGGTTCTCAGGTTGCAAGGCACAGTGAATTGCGTGGGCTAACGGATGCAGGCAAAAGAGTGAAAGATGGGCAAGTGGTGAGATGCCCGCATTTATACAATGTGCACGACGACTGGGGCTTTGGGCAAGACACGGCTACCGCAGCAGATGGTGTCCATGGTGCACCTATCGCCTTGCCGTCAAATCATCGCAGTGGAGAGTGCGTGTCATTGCCGGGAATGGGATTGGTCTCGGTTCAGCACCCTGCTGAGACAGGTCACGTGCGGCTTTTCCCGACCAGTCGTGGCAGACGTTATCCAAATACGCACCGCCAGTCATTCAATCGTCTTCATTGCTTCATGCAGCTATCTATCGCAAGCGTCACCACATGCAACACTATCTTCTCACAGGCTGCAAATTGGGAAGCATCGATGCCCCAGGTCTTCTTCTCTTTTTCATAGCGTGCCTTGGCCATGTCGAACTTGTGGTGCAGCTCTCCGAGCCAAGGAAACATTGCGCCCTCTCCCTGAGTCTGTCTCACCTTGACCCGGCACAAGTTGATTACGCGCACCAAATCCGCCCAGGCAATGAGTCTGAGAAACACCTCGTTACATACAAAGAGATGACTCCGAGCCGACGGCCTCCATCCCACGAACAAGCTGACGACGGGCTGGACCACGCCTGCAAACCAATCAGGCTGGGCACGATTTGCCTCCCAAAGACGCATAATTTCGTCCGTGTGCACGGCAACATAGTCCTTGATGATACGGAGCTGCGCCGCTGCCGCCACTTCTTCCGACTTGCATTCGATCGTGTCGGTCCGGTGTGGGAACTGAACAGACAATGCTGGTTGTATCGGGTTGACTTGCGAGCCAAAGATGGCTTCGCGGTCATCATCGACGCGGTTCCATAGCGTTCTCCGGCACAGCGTCAGGCGGCACACTGGACACTTGGCAAACTCCTGATCTGCTTGGCGGAAGCTCTGGAGAAGACAGGCCTTGTGAAGCGAATGGCCGCAGCCAGGAAATGTCAGCATGTACTCCTCCTCATGGGGTCGACGGGGTTGTCTGCACTGCTGACAATCGCTTTCCAGTGCAGGCGACTCTTGGGCCCTAAGAATGAGGCGACGAATATACTCGTCTTGGTCATGGATCGTAGACTCGGCATATTGGAGCATCTGTTCTACAAGTAAGCTCAGTGCAGGAGAGTTGTCGGTGCTACTCGACCTACGCTTGGCCTTTGCATCCAGCTCCGACGCAGTGTCCCACTGGCGACCCTCCAGGTTCTTCAGCGTTGGTGTATGTTGCTGCCGCGGTACGTCTCCAGTCAGCTCCGTAATGCGATGGGTCATGGGCAGCTCTGCTTTGGGTGCACTGAATAGTCCGTCATGCTCATCGAAACCGTATGGAATCTGAGCGTAAGGATTATACCAATCGTAGTTGCTCGATGGCAGCTTCTCGTCTTCCTTCCCAACTGCTTCTCTCTTTTTTTCTTGGAGATATTCGTCGTAAGCAAAAGGGTTTGAATGGTGGCTGTTGTCCTCACACACTTTGGACACGTGACGGTTAGTTTCATACAAGCCATCAACATTTGCTTGGGCTGCAGCGCCGAATGCAGGGGCTTCCGCGCCTGGTGCATTTCTCTCGTTGCCGGCCGCAATGGGTTGCTGCTTGTGGTTGTTATATTGTGACTTACCGATTGGAACAGACTGCATTTCCTTTTGCGCCGAGCGCGCGTCAACAACCGTGTCGACGCGAGCAATCCTTGGTTTTGGTATATCTTGTTTTCGCTTCGCAATCGGAATGCCTGCATTGCGCTGTATCTCGGACCAGCAAGTCGACGTTGTGGAGAGAATAGACGCATTCGACGAAGAGGTGCACTGCTCCGTCGAGGGAGTTCCTCTCGCATCCCATGTTTCTGTGGGTGAAGAGAATGTCGCACCCAGTGGTGTGCTTATATCGGAAGACAATCCGTTGCCACTCCGCCACGTCGAGGCGCGCGCGTTCTGCCAGACCTGCCGTGGCATCTCTGGATCCTGCTGCACTGCAGGGCGTTTCTGTTCCATCGGAAAGCGAGGAGCTGACGGCTGGGCACATGTTTGAGTACCACCCCCCCTCTGAATCAGTCCTGTATTTTTCTGCGCCGTACGCGGCCGCGGCTGAGGCGACCGCTCAGACTGGGGATGCGCTTCGGATGCATACGGAGGTGGAATATCATCCTCACCACTCCTCCACTCTGTTCTCGTCACCTCTTCCATATCTCTGTTCGAGCAAAAGAACTCTGCACACCGCTCTGTAATCTCCGGATGCTGGGGTGTGCCGTGGCTGTGCCCATGCGGCCGCTTACAGCGACACACAAGGCTCTTGTCCGCATTCGCATAATGGAAATCGTCTACCTCGACGCCTTGTTCTTTCCACTGGTCTTCGCGCAGTCGGCGCCACCGTACGAAATCTCCAATCGAGCATGTGTTCAGGTGATGGCGGTTCATGTACAGAATCAGACTTGCGTTCAGATGTTTCGACTTCTTTGCCACTGCCATTGTCCGTTCCCAGTGGTTTTTGGGGTTACTGCATCGACAGACGCGCGTAAAATCCCAACCGACATAGTGCAGCACCCGTTCTTCCATGGGTACTCTGAGTGAGTCGCGTGGCCGGACCTCGATTTCCTTCATGTTTCGGTGGTACCGCAAGGCGGGGCCCCGCTCTGCCACTGCGGTGACCATCTCGATGAAATGGATGGATAGGGACTTGTAGATACCCGGGTGGTCGGGTCTTGTTGACGATGTGAAAGCCACAGATGACTGCTCGGTTGAGTACTCCCACTTCAAGGCTAGTCGAGTCAAGGTAGAAATGTTCGAGGTGCGTGGGTAGAAGAAGGGGTTGCGCTTCTCTTTGGCGTCTGAACAATGCGACAAAGACGGTCGACTATCACAATGCGCTTTGTTTGAGTCCACATTATTGCCATATACAAGCACGTGGTCCTTCACAATGCTGTTGTCAAAAGCCAGTGTGTACTGACATTGTTTTGCCACAGCACTTGCATGCACTGGAACACTTCACAATGACCACGACGGAAGCAGAATAATGCACACATGTGCACCTTTTGATGCCTTTGTCAACAAGACGTTTCTTCTGAAAGATACACAGAAACTGGTTATGTTGGTTTCAAATCCAAACCGTTGCTGTCCTGTCCTAGGCACTTGCTTTGATATGTTGTGACCTCTTTTTGCATTTCTGTATCCAAGCAAGACATGTAACATACGGCCACCGTCAGCATTCGAATACATTTCGACCATTGCCCAAGAGTCCAAGCCATGTCTAATGAATGGCTTGCAGACTACTATTGACTGCGCCACAGAGTCAAACGTTAATGCAGAACAAGAAACACCATCCCTAAAGCCCTTCTCCATCTTCCTCAAAGAGATGATCCAAGCCATCACCTTCTTCTTCTTCTTCTTCGCAGTCCTCAAAAAGATCATTCAAACCATCGTCATCATCAAAGGCTTCCACCCCATCTTCACCCTGCACAGCAGCGGTCTGCTCAGATTCGCCCATCTCTCCCTCTGCTCCACGCTCGGTTGTCTTTCCAGCAAATACAGTCTTCTTGGCGTTTTTGGAAATTTCTGGATTTCTATCCGGTATACCATATGGCTCACCCCTGCCCAGGACATCTCGCTGCTCTGCAGACAGCGACATACCTTGAACCTGCAGATGCTTGATGTTCCACCAATTGTCAAATCGCTCCCAATCAGGGTACTTCTTCATGCTCTCGATACGACGGCAGTATCTATACTCGCGGTCGTACTTTTTGAGTGCTGCCTCGATTTCCTTGCCATGCGCTCCTTGTGCAGCGCGTTCGTTGTGTGTGCATGCGGACCATGTATCTGACTCTTTCGCGACAAGAGTGCCCACTTCCAAGGTCTTCTTCTGAGAAGGCATGACATCGCATCGCATGTCATTTTTCTCTCCACCCAAAGCCCCTGCATCGGGAATCACATCCCCCTGTTCCTTTGCCTTTGTCTTCTTCATCTCCTGGGTAACCTTCTTTGTCTGCTCTCCTCCCGTCTTCGACCTCTTCCTTGGTCCCTCCTCTTCCTGTTGCTCTTCTTCTGCCTTTCTCTTCGCCACACTCTTTTCCTGTTCATTGTGACCAAATCGATTATTTTTACCATAGTCTCTGTTCCATGTCCTGTGGCTTGGGTGGAGCTGTCCTTTCTGTATGAGGCGTTCCACCTTCCCTCTCCACGTCGACAAGTCTTTGGAAATCGAAGCAAGCATTTGCTTTCGATTCAGACCGTCACGACAGCAAGACCTACCCGTGTCAAAGGGGTGCCGGCACTTGTAGCGTTTGGTGTCCGGATGGGGTGTGTAGTCGAAGATGCTGTCTAAAGGGTATTCTGGGACGGCGACTTGGTCAAGGGGGTGTTTGACTTTGTCTGGGCTGATTGTTTCCGCCGGGTTTGCTTCATGTGGCCCGGATTCGTGATTCTCTTTCCAATATGCAGCTTTGACCCAACCTCGTGTTTGTTTGTCCACCTGGCCTTTGCAGAATGCTTCGATCTCGTTTTTCTTCTCACGATACGACTTTTCGCAATCATCCCTCTGAGCTTTGCGGATTATTGTGGGTTTTTTTCTCGCAGCTTGCTCGGTTGGCGTCTTCTCATCAGGTGAGGGTCCGTCCACAAAGTCCTGATAGCCATTCGTGATCGACCAAGGATTGCGTTTTTCAAATTCTTGCAGCTCTTGTATCATCAGCTGCGTGATGGTTGTTTGTACAGACTGTTCTCTCAAGACGCTACTGAGATGCGCGACTTTTTCTTCGTCAGTACCTTTCTTGGACCTAGCCACCCAAGCTTGCTCGTTTTGGAACAGAGTAGCACGTAATCTTGTAATATTGCTCCAGATATCTTGGTATTCATCGCTAATTTGGTCATACTGAATCATCCTACGCGCCAACTTTGCCATGTGTGTATAGGCAATCAATCGTTTTGTTGGGGACAGAGATCGCAGAAGCCAAATATCGCTTGGTATTAACATTTGGTCCGTAATGTCTTTGCGGGCCCCGATTGAAGTCACCTTGGGGCTTATAGCGGGAACAGCGGAGAATTTTCGGTTTTCAATGTCGGGTTTTGCATTTATGACCCACTGCTTCTGGATAGCGTAGAGCCTCTTTCGGGCGCATTCGGTGGACTCGGTGGACTCGGTGGACTCGGATTCGGGCTCAGCGGACTCGACGGACTTTGTATCATTTTGAGAGTCTCTTCTTGAGGGTTTAGAAGAAGTACGAGGCGGTTCGGTCGTTAGAGGTTGGTACGGGGGCATCGAGTCTGCGAGTCGCTTCTGGTCCTGCTCAAGCTTCCTCAATATAACTTTTGAATGCGCCATGAATATTGGTTTGATACGAACCTGGAAGATCTTGGCCAGTGCAGCTTCTTGAGCAGGCGCGGGCTGGGCCATCTGGTGAGCTTGTGGATAAGCGGCAGTGACCTGCTGAGGCCTCCCATTTCCCACAGGGGGTCCTCGTGCATCCGTAAAGTAAGGATTTGAGCGCATTCGTTCATTATCACTGTGATTATTATTGTTACTCGACGGGTATCCTGCAGGGACCCTCTGATGGCTCCTTGGGGAGATATGAGCCTCGTCTCGACGCGGACGCTTCGACGCCTCGTTGGGTTCATGCTCACTCGGGCGCTTACTCGAACGCGCCATCGTTGTGAAGTCTTGCTATAGAATGAACAGTGTAGTTTGTGCAAGCTGTAAAGAGTGTGAAGGGTTGGGGTAGTGAGATCGGGATGGTGAACTGGAATCCAATCGATTTACTGCTATGGTGAGATTCTGGAGGCGATGTGGGGCAAAATACACATTCCTTAAGAGGTGTAATTGGGTGCACGTGCATTGTAGACTTTGCGCTGTTGTCGCACAATACATTCACCCTCTCCTTTGTTTGATTAGCTAATGTGGGCCCGGGCCTCCTCTCTTCCTGCCCGTGACTGCGGGGCACCCACCAGCTGATCAGATACAACCATTTCATTCAAGCGGCATATTGCTCATCATTTTCAGTGCAGACACTTACAGAGACCTCCTCCATCAGGACCTGGTACGAATTCGAAGCCAGGGGGGAGGCAAGTTGCGTTCCCAGCTGTTCAATGCTGATAGTTGATCCGTCAATGACAAGTGTGGCAGCATTGAGTGCAGCTTCGCTCTCAAGTAACTGGATACTTTTTGTAGCATCTACCACTATGAAAGATCCCGAGTCATCGCGTGGGACGGTATGACTGCCGAATGTGGTCACTTGGCCTGGTCGAAGCTGCGTAGCCATTTGACCGAGTTTGATAGTCGTCCCCCTATTACAACTGGGTTTGCCCGGGATTCAGTAGTGATTAGGGTCAATGCTATTGCCTTCGCTCTGTCGACTACCGCAAAATCTGCAGATGTGTAAAAAGAAACCGGGACGCCGGTCATCGTTGTATGTAGGCCTGGGCGAATTCCACTTGCCGCACCGCTGACGACTATTACAGATCTGAAGTGCTGATTTTCTCATCAGCCTGTAATGCCACTACAGGAAGGCGAAGACATGGACAATCTGGAATCCCATATCATTCCCATACTTCCTCGTGACAGCAATGCGACATCTGAACGGTTGCACGGCTTGCCAGGCGGTGCGGCCAAGAAAGGATGCATGGGATGCCGATAGCAGCATTTACGGAATGCCGACAGCGAGCGATGGGGAGCGATGAGGAGAGATGAGGAGAGAAGAGGCAAGTGACGGCGATGGAAGGGAAGGGCTGACCAAAAGGCGCTAGTGCCCTGAGTGGGTCAAGTCATGTGCTGGAAACAACAATGATACCATATAGTTGATTGAACGGAAATACTGCGACATTTTTGTTTTAGAGTCGAGCTGGTACTGTGTTTTTTTAGTTGGTTCAAGATGGAAAAGGATGCAAAGATGGGTGCTCACGTGATGTGGCCATGGGAGCTAGCAGCGCCTTCCGCTTGCAGCAGCCTCTACTCACTGATACACAACATGACGACCTCAACAACACACGGAGACAGACTCTTCTTCTGAACCATTCAAGAAGCCCTCGTTTCAAGCCAGCTCCAGCTCAATCAGAGAATCCAGACTCTGCCGATGTCGCCAGATGCCAGTCACCTTCAGGCCCGCACCCTCGTACATTTTGCGATGCTCCTCTTCGGTGCGGTGCCGTGCTCCCAGACTGCCCATCAATTCCCAATCAAGGCACGCTGTGTCTTTGTTAGGGAGACGATTTAGCACATGCAAGACAAGGGCATGACTTACTCTGCGCCCAATGCGCGCCACGGCTCGGAACCACAAAGTCGTTGACCAGAAGCTTGGAGTATCCCTTCTTCATGGCGGGGACAATGGACTTCAGGATATGCGTATTTACCTGGTCGTTCCAGTCCTGGATGATGGAATGGAGATAATATGCGCGCGCGCCTTTTACCGGCTGCTCGGTCATGAAATCATGCGCCATCTTCTCTGTTCCAGCGCCCAGCTGCGCAAGCTCGACAATCTCTGGCCGGTCTTGCAGCACCAGCGACCCGGGGAGTTTTCCTTCAAAGGCAACTCTGAGCCCCTCGACATCGTGGCCTGAGCCGCCGCCGACGTCGACGAGGAATGGCGCATCCTTCTCAGCCCCGGCAAGCAGCCTCTCCTCGACAGGATAGTAGTCTCTATGGAACCAGCGCGGCCGGCCCTGACTCCACGACTCCATCATGCCCGCGAACCGCCGGCCCATTTCCGGGTTCTGCTCAAAATACTCAAAGTAGTGGCGTCCCTTGCAATGGTAGCAATGCTGGAACGGGGCATCGAGGCCGGAATCAGGACATTTCCAGTCGCGCTGTTCAAAGTACGACTTGATGCATTGGTGCACGGGCTGGAAGTTTTCGGCAATGTACAGGATCGAGTCCTGGTACGACTGTTGGGCAAAGGCAGAAGAGGTGCGCGTGCTGGCAAAGGTGCCTGGGCCCGTCTCGCGCACCGTGTGCATGGCAGCGAGATGGCGCAGCATGCGGCCGACGAGGATGGCGTCTACGTTCTTGTCGCATTTGCTGGCGATTTCCTCGATGGTGGCGCCCGTCTCTGGCGTGTCGCGCATGGTCTGGAAGAGCTTCACCTCGGCCGCCATCCACAGGATGTTGAGATGGGCCGGCTGCGCCCACAGCAGCTCGAGCATGTTCTCCGAGGGGTGGCTTATTTCCGCAATCAGGCTCCTGCACGCGTCGAGCAGCCCTTCCCGTGCGCCCGGGGCCCCGTTTCTGAAGCCATCGCTGAGCTGCGCGACGCTTTCGAGGAGCTCCAGAGCAGCCGTGGTGCGGGTGGCATCTGCGGCCATGATGGAGCTTTGGTTCTGCGAGGGGGATGTCGATATTATTTGGAGAAGAAGGATCGGCCGTGCCCAGCGGCGGGCGAGGGGCCCCTCGCCCGGGTAAATGCTTGCCGAGAAGCAGGGCACAAGCAGAAGTGGGAGCGGGTGGCAAGAGTGGATCATCTGGCATGGAAGCGCTGCCGCCGATGCGATGCAGAGAGGGCCATATTAGCCATGGGCCATGGTTCTTTGTGTGCTACGATGCATCCTCACCATCGCCTGCAGAACGTTCAGGCCTCTCCACCTTGATCCCCCCCCCCGGCTAGTCCTTCCTCGGTCCCCAGGTCCTTGTCTGACGCCCACATTAGGCAAAAGTTATTCGTCCTACCACTAAGCGGCTATCTAGCCTACTACTTAGCAGGGGTCTACATTAGTGTAAGCGCATCTAAACTATATAGAGTTAGCACTATAATATAATAACTTAGTACTAAATATTATAACCAACTTAGTAATTGGATAATACTTATCTAGTATAAAAGCTTAGTATTTTTACTCTAAGTAAGCTAGTAGCTTTTAAGACACTTATACCATTACTATATAATATATATA